GTAAACACACATGGAAATATCTCCTTCAAGACGTTTATTAGAAGTAGGAACAACTCCTGACAGATTTTTAAATGTTTTATTTGAAGGAAGTTATGAAGGCCTCAATAATTATCAAATAATATGGTGGTCTTCTCGCCCTAGTATAAAACACTGTCGATGGTTGAAAGGCCCTACCAACCATCTTTAAAGAGAACAAAGATCTGAGTATGTGGCGAATATAATTCATCACATCATAGATTTTTTCAACATATAATGACCGCTCTTTATAGAACTCATCCCTAGAAAGAGGGAGAATGTCACGGACATACATATGTAAGCTAATAATTACTTATATAAATAGGTAGAAGTAGATAGAAGTAAATAAAAGTAAGTTAATTCTATAATATCTTCTAAATTAGCTTCTAAGAAGCTTTATAGACATTGCTTTGACTTCATAGGTATCCATTGTTGATTTTTAGGTTAGAAACATGGTCAACAAGTTAACCATGTACCACACATGTTGGTAGCTTGAAGAGTAAGCTAACTATAAGGGGCACATATAGAAAAACTTGCCTTGTAAGTCAAAGCATGTATCCTACAAAGTCAACACATATTAGAGATTCTATAGAACATTGCCACGTAGCCCTTAGTTAAATAGTATATATAAAGATAAGAGTGAAGCCCTCTTCACTCTTGTCAATTCCTTTCTTGCTTTTAATCTAGTTTCAAGAATCTCAAGTTTTCTTGTCTTTTGGCAATAGGCCATTCCAGTTTCTTTTTAATATACATACTTATTTATTTCTATTTTGTCACTTTTTCTTTGATACATATTTCATTATTTTATGCATCATCTTCTAGTTCATGTCCTTGACAAGTAGTATACAAAGATTAGAAAGTAAAGAATATTACAAGTCTTTGGTGCTTTGAAAATTTTATGCAATCTTTGTGATTGAAGAGGGCTGAAGATGTATCAAAGTGTCTTCTTATAATTATAAAAACGTACAAGTTGAATATAGTAAGCATGAGTAAGAACTTTAGTAGAATAATGAAAGCAATAGGAGTAGGTTTTTTCTTCTATGTAACACGGAAGGACTTATATTAAGATTATCAAACTCTAGTAAAAAATCAACCAATTTATATTCATTTAAATAGTGCTTTATTTTAGAAATAGCTTGATTGGATTATGTATCATGAGTTGGTCATGACCACAAAGAAAACACATGTGAGAAATGATCATAATGGATCCTAAATGGTAAATTGAATTAATTCTTTGTTTCTTCAAAGTTATTGATCTAACAAAGATGAACAAGCAGGAACAAGAAGAGAAAATCAAAGTTCTTAATAATTGGTACCATGAGCCAAATTCATAGCAAATTAATAAAAGATGAGCTTAAGTGCCTAACATTGGAATTAAATTTTATGTAAGTTAAATTTTTCTCCACTTTGATGGAGGTGATGTTATGATCTTTAAGAAATTATAAGAAAAGACTAATATAAAGCAAACTCTCTACCAACAAGTGACATTTCTCTAATGTGTTAATTTTGCTCTACCAAATCTTAATTGTCATGATTTTACAGTAATGCAAAGAATTGGAAGAAGAAACAAGTGTTAAGAATAAGAATGGAGAGATATAAAGATAGTTTTGAAAGGTGGATTGATTTAATAAAAGCTGAGGTTAATTTGACATTCTCTCAAATTTATCATATATATATATATATATACATAAATAAAAATTTATTTTTTAAAGTGCTTTAAAAAAAATAAATGATTATCAATAAAAATAAATATATTTTATATTATTTTAGTCTTAAATTGACTTTATTTTATAAATTAAAGTAGTCTTTGGCACATTAGTATGAGATATATGACACAATTAGTATTGTTAAAAATATATTCTATTCATGATATGAAATAATATAAATTAGATATCCATTAATTAGAGTATATTTTTAAAATACGTTTTTACCAAAACAAATCAAAAATTATTTCTTTTAAAAATATATTTAAGATAATAATAACTAAATATTAAATTCTATTTATTTAAAAAATAAAAATTTATAAATAATATGAACATTGAATATAAATCATATAAACTCCTTTAAAAACAGAAATTGGTATAATTTATATTCTATCAATTTTATAATTGGTTTTGAAAACTAGATATTCTAATTAAAATTTTTATATTATACAATAAAAAAAATATTATATCTTGTATATTTTTTCACAAAACTAATAATTTTTAATATGTATTAAAATAAATAAAATAAATATTATTTTTTTAATTAAAAGATAAAATTATTTTTCATACTAAAAATATTATACATTAAAAGATAAGATTACAATATAATATTAAGAAAGAAAAGAATAAGACAAATATTTTTAGAATTTCTAAAAACTTTCTTAAATCTTCTAAAAATTTCTACGAGATTTCAATGCCTTCCATAATCTTTTAAAAGCTTTTGTACAAAAGTTTTAAGACTTCTAGGATATTTTACAATACTTAGAACTTCTTCTCAAAGCTTTCAAAAATGAACTACTTGCTTACTCACAAACATGAGAGCAAAACTAAGAAGATCCTAATTCAAACAAAAAAACTTTAAAACTATTTAAAATATTTTCATCTATCTAAATTAATATCTTATTCTTCTAAATTTTTTATTTTTTAATATCCTTGTCTATATGTTTTATAAAAGTTGGCTAATTTTAAATACATATATTTTGTATTCTATTTAATTACTTAAATATATTTATTTATACTTAATAATTAAAATATTATTAAAAAAATGTGATATTGCAAGTAAGTTTGCAATCTTGAAGTGTAATAGCTATGCATAAACAGTAAGGTTTGGTTTATCAAAATAATGCTTGAAGTTTTATTGCAAAAATTATAAAAAAATATTATAAAGAATTAATTAATTGATTGATATAAAAGTTTAAAAAATTAAAATATATTTTTAATATGCTATTTTTATAATTAAATGATAAAGTGACCCAAATTTTGACTAAATCAACCCACATGTTTAAACCATCATTGTACCCTTTTAATCTCATCTCTATTCTCAACCATTTCCTTGTTCCCAACTACTGCCCCTGTTTCTAACATCCCCATCTCTCCCCCCCCCCCCCCCTCCTCCCTCTTATTATTAGCAACCGTTGGGAATAAGAAACACTTGAGAATAAAGATGAAGACTACAAGGGTGCAATGGTGGTCAAGATAAAGTGGGTCTTTTATCATTTCTCTAATTATATATAATTTAAATTTAAAAAAATTAAGGTAATAAAATATAATATATAATGAAAAAAATGCTATATATTCTATGCTCAAAAAATACTAATAACTTGTATAATCATTTATCATTTTAAAATTATTTTTCATATTACAAAAGTTAAAATTTTGTAATAATTTTATAAAACAAAAAACAAAAAATATATATATATATATATATATATATATATATATATATTAAATCTAAAAAATTTATAAAATTTATATATTTTTAAAAAACCATAAGACTTTAAGAGAATTAAAACTAATGTATCAAAAAAAAAAAAAAAAAAAAAAAAAAAAAAAAAACCTTAACCTTAACCTTTAACTTTAACAAAACAAGTATGTGTTTTTTAAGAAACATGTTTGTTCACATAAATATAAGAAATAATATTTTATCTTATATTATGTGTATGTGCGTATGTATGTATGTATATTTATTTATACATACACACACATATATATATATATATATATATATATCACCATACATAAAAAAATTATAACTCTTAAAAAAACCAAAAATTTGTTTTGTATATTTTTTTTATTGTTTCGTTATTTTATACCGAATTCCATGGTATACAAAACAAATTCTGTTTAAAGAAGGACAAAGTAACTGAACTTTAAGTTAAAATAAAAAATAGATAAATCTTCCTTATTATATGTATATGCAATATTATAAAGTTAATCTAAAACAATGGAACCAAGTTGTTATGTTAGGGAGTATGACTATAGATTGATAAAAAAAAATAGAAAACTAAAAGAATACCTATACTTTAAAATATATAATTGGTTAAATACTGATAAATTAGTTGTACCTGTATACTACATATAATTAGAGAAAATATTGGATATTTAAATTTATAAACACATTAATATATAATATTTATTTGATTTTTTATCCTAACATTACAAAATCTATGCATTACCATCGTATCTATTATAAACTAAAAATAGTTATATTATATAGTCAATTAGATATTTATTTGAGAAAATTGAAATTTATTTTCATAAGTATATTAAATTTAAAATGAATTATTAAACCAGACAAAATATATAATTTTCTGTTTTGTAAAGTAGACCTACAAATAAATGATTAGTTGAAGTGGCCATAAGCTATTATTTAACTATTTTAATATAATAAATATGTAAAAAATGTTTTCCTTAAATATTTCTAAATAATTCATTTAATAAACCAACCAAAAAGTAATATTCTTTGGATTTAGGTGTTGAAAATATATAAAAATTCTTTTTTCTCATTAAAAAGAGAAAAAAAGAAAATTATATATTCATCAATATATATATATATATATATATATATTGTTATTTTATATTTTAAATGCTTTTGAAGAACATTTATGTGCAACAGCTTAGTTGTTAATAATTCTAAACATCAATTATTTTGTAGACAACAGAAAAAAATAATTCTATAAATTTTCAAGTATTGGCCAATTCCCAAAAAAATTAAAAGTTAAAATTAAAATTGTGGCTGCAGTTTTATGTTTTGTACACAATAAAACATATCCATATTTATATGAATGAATGGGCATATGTGTTTATATAAAATGTAAATAGAGAAACTATAAGCATTGGTTATAACGTTGTGAACAATTCACTCCACCACAACATCCGACGCATGATTTCCGAGGATGAGGAATTTGAAGAGTTGGGTGAAACATTAGCAACCAAATTTTGATCACTTCTTTGTGAGGTTCATGACTCCGCTCCAATGCAGATGAAGGCATTGCAACAATGTGGAATAAAACAAATGACCATTTCAATAGAAAAGGTGGGTATTTTCACCAGCATTCTGCACTTCTTCATTTTATAGGGAGGCACTACAGGAGGCATACTGTCATTCTCTAATGACCGGCTAATATTTGCATGTTTCTCTTTATGGGTGTGTAATATACAATATCGTGTTCACAACAGAATGAAAAAGATCCGTTTTTTTCGACTACTATTATCTCCTCGTGCTCTCTCTACACCGACACTCCGGCGACACCGAAAAGCTTGAGAATTCCAAACGTGAGCAACATGGCGATCACACCCCCAGCTAAGACCCTGAATGCTGCTCTTGTCATGGGGGCTCCGCCAAGCTTAGCGCCGACGGCGCCAAACAGAGCAAGAGCGAGAGCAGTACAAATACCCACCGACGTGACCCTATACCTGATGTCCTGGATGAAGCCTCCAGCTAGGAGAGGGACCGCGCCCCCCGAAGCGAATGCAATAGACGAGGCGATGGCTGCTTGCATGGGGTTAGAGTAATCGTCCATGTCGATCCCGAGCTCGTCCCGAGCGTGCGCTCTGATTGGGTCGTCTTTTGATAGCGCTTCCGCTACCTGCTTCGCCAAGGAGTAGCTGAGCCCTCGTCCCACGTAGATCCAGGTTAATTCCTCCAGTTCTCGAGCTTGCGCCTCGGGTCCTTGAGCATGCTCCTGCAAAAGCGACAGGGTGATGATCGTTTACGTTAGAGCCGCTAGGGAATGCCAACTAACTACTGTTCTCTATCAGTTTTTACGCAACTATGGATTGATTTCATGAGGGACAGTTATAAGCATCGAGTCTTGGTAAGATTCGTGGTTTTGGTTGAGCTTCATGAAACAATCATGAGCGAGGACCCACCGGGTAACCAGATGATAGCTTGGTATGCCTACTCTCCACAAATATATATATATATATATATATATATATGAATGAAAGCAGTTTCTCTGGAGCTATAGTTATGTTCCAGAAAGTTTAGCTGTGCTATGATGGCACGTGTTTCTGCAGGTGTCTGTTGGGTGAGTATGTCTTAACATCACAAGGCAAACCATACGAAGAATCCATTCCGTCGAGATAAGGTTCATTCGGATAGAACTCGCAATCATCAAGATAGTTTTCACCGAAACATTCAGGAGAGGAGGGTAGGATGGCCGCCTCACCTGGCGCTCCTTCTCGACGTCGGCTTTCTCGGCATCTCGCTGCGAGAAGACTGAAACAAACTCTCCAATGGCCATGCTGCAAGCGCCTGCCACAAGGCCCGCAAGCCCGCCTACGACCATGGTCTTGACGCTGTGCTCCACGGCCCCCACGCCCAGCATGAGCGACGCAGTCGACACCATTCCGTCGTTTGCCCCGAGCACCAGCGCTCGCAACCACGGCGCTCTGTGGGAGTAGTGCTTGTGTCCGCATACTGCCTTAGACGTCTCTTCAGTGGTGGATGTTTGCGTGTCGCAGCCTTCTGATCCAGATTCAACATCGGGATGCACCTTAGGTTCTACTGCATACAATGATGCGGATCCTTGTGTCGAGTCGGTAGCTGCAGAGATCGTCATCTCTTTCGCCGTAAGACCAAAACCAGTTGAATCTTTGCAGAGATCTCTTGAAAGTTACAAATCATCTACGTATCTTATGAAGCTACGGAAATACAGTCAACATGCTCTTACAAGCCACACAGAGGATCACGACCTTCTGTTACAGATTCAAAGCTTCGCCGAAGTATCATATACGCATTGCAGCAACTTCGATTTCCAGTAAGGAAGAAACTGGTTCCAACGAGACAGCTAACGAAACCAAAATTCGAAAATACACAGATATGTGTATGTATATATATATATATATATATATTGTTTGTCTCATGAAACTTCTTGAGACAGGAGGTTCTCCCCCAAACGACCGAATCACGGCGCGAGCTCAACGCAGTGTCATCGAGGATCAGACGTCACGAAACGGAAAGACGACCATGCATGCGAAAGCTGCTCTCCTCGTACAAGAATGTGCACTGATCGATCAGCTGCGCGGCAAAATGGGGAGTACCTCGAAAACGGAGTCGATTCTCCAGACCCAGAACAGAAGCGTAGTCACCGTGCCTCAGGTACAGTCCTCACCTGAATTGCGTTGCACAATTAGCTTCGAAGGACGCACACTCTTATAGGCCCCATGCACAGCGGGCCTCAGCAGAAAAACGCCTCGCGAGATTGAATCCCTGCTTGGGACTCTTTCACCATCAGATTACGAAGGGCATAATCCTCATCACCCACATCGCCGGCTCCACGCATTCGATCGATAATTCGACAAATTTCCCAATTAAAGCCACAAATTCATTCGTCGTTTTCGCATTGCCGAGTGGGAAGGATCGAGAAGCAAAATAGAAGTGGCGGGTTCGTGTGCGGCACGCGCCCGCAACGACGTGGCGCCCCGCGTGCCACCGAGGTGCGCGACGCTTCACCGCTCGATATGCTCCTTGCGCATCGGACGGCCTCAGCGGGAGATAATGTGGGCCCCAAGGCGTGTGTCGCCCATGCGCAACTTGAGAAAGTATCGCGGGGACCCGGAAATTCCGGGTGGTGGATCGGGCCGCCACCCAATTTGTTTTGGTGTTGGGAATCACGCCGTGTATGTGTGTTTTTTTTAATCTGGGTGGGTTGGCCCCTTTTCCTGCGAGTGGGTGTCTACCCTTAGGAACACACTTGTGTATCAAAGCAACAAAGGGGCATGAGGAGATGGCCTCTTCAATGAGATTAGTGGATGGTGCCATTAAACGTGATCACTTATGACCTTCTACCAAAAGAAAAACGAAACTTTGTGTGTGCATCATTCATTTTTGTCCTTGTTTCGTTTGGATTTGGTCATACCATGGAGTCTTCGTGATGGATTTAACAATCCTGGAAGGAATATTGGAGCCTTCAAAAAGAAGTTGATGCAGTCCATCTATCATCATTTGATAAGATTTTGTTTTTGTTCTTGTTTTGTTTGTTTGTTTGTTTTTTCTTTTTTCCCCCTCTAATGGCACACCAAAAATGAGTTTTTATTTTCTTTTTTTTTTGTCATTTTTTTTTATATAGATGTAATCAATATATTTTAGGTAATGTATGAAGAATATAAATGGACTCTTCATGTAAAGTAGTCTTTACATTTAGGGGAACAGGTGAGAAGCCACCACTTTTAAACTCCTAGATTTATTTAAATTTAGAGATTTTAAAATTTCACCAAGATTTAAATGTTAAGGTATCTCTTTTTGTCCCCTGAAATAAACTTTAGTCTTCTGGAATATGAAGTATACAGAACAATTTTGAAACAAGATTGAGTGAGAGAGAACTGATTTATTTATATTTATATTTATTTTGTTAAAGTAAAATACATTAATAGAATTTTAGTTTATATTTTATTCTACAAATGCAAATTTGTGTTACATGAAATGTCACCAAACATTCATTTGTGGTATTTATTAAGAAAGATCAACATGTTTAAGATACCAAAGATAAAAATAAGTTTTTTTTTTTTTAAATGTATTTGGTTAAGATGTCACTTTCAATCCCAAGCTTTGTTCTGTTTTAATTTTTTTGGATGTACTAATGAGGCTTGATAAAATTGTAATTTCATATTATTTAACAATCGTTTTTGCAAAACAATAATATAGAAATAATTAAGTTATTTTTTTTTTTCAAAATGTAAATGAAATGTTTATATAACTATGGGAACAAATCAAATTTAAATTCTACAAAAGAGTTATACATATAAAATCATATATATATATATATATATATATATAGAAAAAATAAAAGATGATATTTTATATTATTTGAGTATATAAACACACAGAAATAGAAACATATATAAATGTCGTTTTCATGATCATTCATATAAATAATTAACATTAGATGCACCAATAGACATATTTTACCTTATTTTTCATTTCGGTGCTCGTTTAAAGCTCTCTGTCTATTGAAGACATCGACGGTTTTTTTCTTTTTTTATCACATACAATAATGAAAATAACCATGAATCTAAATATATATATATATATATATAATGAATTCAATTTCTTAGGTTTTTAACTAAGTATTGTCTAGATCTCAATTAATAAATTTACCTTGTCATCATTTTAGTGTGGGTTTTAGTATGTGTGTTGTGATGACTGGTATATATTTTTGTCTAATGTGATTTAGAATATTTATTATTCATTTTAAAATATAACTATCAACTTCTGTTTCATGAGCAATTTAATTATTATTATCATTATAACATATTGTCAAATGTTCAGCACTTAGAAGTTAAACAAATGAATGTTAAATGTGTCCAGAATGAAACTTTAAAGTACGTATTTGCTACCATGTTAGGAATGTACCAATTTATATATCATAACAATTTTTTAGTATATATATACATATATAAATAAATGTGTGTGTGTGAGAATAAATCATGAACTAATAATAGTCAGTCATAAAAATTGCTGGATAATTCATGGAATCCAATGTCCTACATGCATCTAAAATCATCTATACATGAAAACCCAATAACAATATCCATGACAACTACCAAACTCTGCAATATAAAAATAAAATAATCACATACTGAGAACCAAGAAAGCATTTCTTGTAGGTGCATTTAGTAATCTTGGTAATTCTTCCATATTTCCTTAGATGCTTTTATGATACATCACACGCTGTACTTATCATCATCATTAAAATAAACAACTAAGTAAGCAAATCATCCATCCATACATTCTCTGTACTAGTTTACCCCCAATTATTGAAAACCTTTCAAATGCCCCTTATGCTTATGTTTGGTGGGTGCATACCCATAAATAATAAGCAACATAGTGTGATTACAGACATAGTCTCCTGCTGATTCCACAAAGGTTGCTTTTCCCTATGACTGTCCCTTTTGTCTCTCTGTCACATGGAACTTGAAAATGTGACTTGGCAGAATCACAGCCAAGTGGACAGGCCACCCCAGTCAGCATTGTGATTTTACAAGGGAGTTAAACCTAATTATCTCACCCAACATGCTTTGTTTATCCAGCCATTCCTCTCATTTAAGTTCTGTCACCCACTGTGCCTCCCACAGAAGCTTTGTTCATGTGATTCCAGATGTGGTCTTTGTCTTCTTCACTTCTACCACCACCACCCAGGTTCCCAACCATGTTCCTATAGTTTCCTAGCTCCGCGCCCAGACACCCACCCTCACATTCTTCCCATAGTTCTCCCCACACAGCCCAACAAAGAGGGACCCAAATTTGTTGTGGAAAGAGAAACAAAAACCTGAAGTGCATTGTTAGGGAGGAAGAGGGAGGAAGGATGGGTGTGTAGATGAATATTGCGGATAGTTAGTTTGATGAAGAATGGACGATATATTGCATGGAGCAGTTAGGTCTGCCATATTAAATGTGCGAGAGCTGGGTACTGTGCAATGATACTACCTCAGAGGCTGGCCACACACACACACACACCAGGCATGGATTGCCACCAGCTCCACCAGGCAATAAATGATCAGGATAAACAATTGCATATTGTGTGACCGTATAACTCTGTTCATTTTGTTACTCATGTCACATCCCATTTTTCACCTTCCAACAGCATGATACATCAAAATGTTGTGACATGCTTCACAAGTTTGTGAAATGTGAAGCTGGGTTGAATAATATTAACATATTTTTATCACAAAATAAAGGACTGGATGGAATGTTTAAATCTATATATAGGGAAACTGAGCATTCAGGCTTGTAAGGTTTGTTCACAGAAAGAAAAATCCAGGTAGTTATGGCTTTCAAGTTGCCAGTATTTGAGCTTTGCTGCAGTGAGCAAATTAGAATATAATAATTTATTCAAGTCCTTAATTAAGGATTTAATGTCTTCACATTCAACTGTTGCATCTAATGTCTTCACATTACAATGTGTGAATTGAAGATTGTTCAATCTTTCCACCAAAACATTTCTCAACACATGCAAGTTTTAAGCATAGAATTAATAATTATAATAATAACTTGTTGCATAATTCTGTGGCAGTGGGTGAAGCCATATTAGTTAAGACACAAACATATAGATATATATATATATATATATATATATATATTCCAGTAAAGTTGTCATGTTTCTTTAAAAAAAAGAAATTGTGAAAACATCACAATGTATTAAGGTTCAATTTACAGATTATTCAACAATCATTGTTGCCCACAATTTACTTTGGAAACCGTCATGGACGGAGTTCATCCAATTCGGAAGGTGGATGACAAACATCAAATTGAAAGCGAGAGACGTGTAAGCCATTAACACCAACAAAGCGTGTGGCCTCCATGCGGTGGATCCACGTGGGCCTCCATCTCAGAGCACCTCGACGGTCAAATTTAGCGGGAAAACGTGCTACAGTCATAATTTTCCAGCCTGGCATAGATGAGTGTGCCAACCACGCTCCCCCTCTTAAATGCGCAATTTGGGGATGAGCTGGATATCTTTGGATTGTTTTCTACTTATGAAAATGGCGGGAAGAAAGAGTATAAAAGGATAAATCAAATTTATAATGTGTACATAAATAGACAGGTTCATTTAGAGCCCACCTACTTTAATTCTGAAGTTTTTACAATGAAAACAACTGTACATTTTACCAGAGTGGAAATATCCATGCAGTTTGGCTTATAATTTTGAATGTAAGTTTTTTTTTATTTCAGTTGGGTTTGAGAGTGCATGATATCATTTTAAGTGATAGGTCATTTAAGATGAGGACCTATACTAGCATAAGAATGTTTGGACAAGGGGATGGTGTTGTGTGGCATTATTGAAGTGAATGATTGAAGGGATTTTTGACTTCCAAGATACCCATGCTACCTTGTCACCTTAAACTTGTCTGTTTTGAGTTACAAACATACTTTTTCGTGTATACATATATATAATTAAATAAATAAACAAATAAAAATAATTATTAAACTGACCTAAACATTTACTAAATCAACCTACCCACCTTAACCATCTTCAAAAAACTCAGCATTTGTGGATCTGCAAAAATGCCATTATAAGGACTATTTGTGCCAAACTCTTTCAAATGATGATGTTTCAAAAAACTTTAGAAATTTGACCTTTGGAAAGGCAATCTAATTTTTATGGGGCCATGAAAATCTCTACATGTTTGGTATTGCATGAGTGTCTATGTCCATGCCACAGAAGTGAGAGAAAATCATTGTATTGTCATTTGAAACTGTAACCAAGTTCACATGATGTATTTGAATTTGAAGAAGGTGTAAATATATATTTTGCATTCATGCAAAATTTTGTAAAATTGGCAATAAAATAAGGTCAGGGTTCAA